GAGAAGAGCGTTATTAAGCTTTACATCAATTAAATTTTTTATACCTTTGATCTGAAAAGTTTATATATATGTATATATATACACACACACACACACACATGCACACAACTAAAATAATGAACAAAAAATTTAAATGAAACAAAATTTAATACCCCTATTGCCCCCTCCAATAATTAAAAATAATAATTAGTTTTTTTCTTTTACCCACAGGTTGTCAAACAACCATTTTATTTTACCTTCTTCTGTACAATAAGGTCTTGACATACAAATTTTTTTTACTATTTTATCCTGCCAAATTAAAAAAATATATTATGGCAGCCTGTTTGTTTGTTTTTATTTTTATTTCCAAATTCACTAACAAAAAAGTACATTAAATCCCTTTAAAAGGACAAGCGTACAGTTAAAAAATTACAAGTTCCAGTAAAAATACAGCAAGTGCCTACATTATATGAATCAACCAATATCAATATTCATTCCAGAAGTAGAGGGAAGGGAGAAGGTGGGCAAGGGAGGAAGAGATAAAAATAGGTACAGGTCAGAAATGTGATTTTTTTTTTTTAATCTGCAAAGCAATAACAATATTAAGCATTTTTTTCTACATACTTTTTCTACATGGTGTAGCAGTCACCTTTTAATCCCCAAATACAAGTTTCTATACATTTTTTTCTTGAAATAAAAATTCAACACCCAAGGCAGAAAAAAAAATACTAAAACTCAGACTTTACAGTTACAGTGACAAGAACAAATTTTATAGACCCACCATTTAAATTTTACTGCAACATTTTCAAGGAAAAAAGAGAAAAGTTTTTTTTTTCTTTCTGGTTTTGTAAAATGCCCAGGCATTCTCCATTATTACAAATACTGGTCCACTTTTACAGTAATCAAGAAATTTTAATATATATAATATATACTAAAACCCCGTCACCAAAAGAAAACAATATACACATGGCCATTATGGCATTTTTAATAACCTATTAAGCAAACTTTGAAAAAAAAAAAGATTGCTCAAACACACATACACACATTTTTTTACCCTTGTATGTATTCAATACTGTAAACGTATTTTAAGACAGAGTGCACTAAATTTAACTTTTTAAAAAATTAGCCGTTGTTCCTGAATTATTTTTCATTCAATGATAACAACTTGCAATTTGTGTCATTTGAGTTTTAATTCAGCAGTAAATCATTTCCATTCCATTTCCTAAGCAGCGTTGTCCTGAAAAAAAAGAGAAAGGCTGAGAATAATTCAGCAAATGGATGTCCGAAGTTGTGCTGGATATACATCTTCATTTGATTGGGTCTTATGGCAGTTTCATGTCCACTATCTTCAACCAGGCTTTTTTTAAAAAAAATGTAAATGTGGCTCTTTGTTTTTCATCTAAAGAACATACCTTTCTTGTTCTATCTTTTTTGAAAAGTCTTTTCATTTCACAAAAATTGTTTGCATGTGTCTCAAGAGACTGAAATAGGAAGATCAGTTTTCAAGGCACTCACATCAAATTGAAATGGCAGTAAAAAAACTGTCCAATAAATTATTAGTTTTTTATAGTGCCAGTATTGTGAATGCCATGCTTAGCAACACTGACACTTAATCTCAGATGTCCCCCTTTAATAGTTCACCCATCTCTGGGCCAAGCAAAGACAAAAATGCTGTAATTTCTTGTTTAGAAGCCACTGGTCTTCAATGCAAACAAATAAACAAATATATATATATAACTTTAAAGTGCGGGTCAACAGAATCAAAATGTAAATTTTATAATAATGTACACTAACTATATCAGGGGTTTTCAAATTATTACCTAAAAAGTCTTAGGTTATGAAGATTTGTATATGGATATGTGTGTTCACCTGTGTTTTGTTTTTCCTTTCATCCAATATATCCAAATTCTTGGATACTGCCTGCAAGTTTTCTTGGCAAAGTTTCTCATAAGTGGTTTGCCACTGTCTCCTTCCTAGAGTTGAGAGAAAGTGACTAGTCGAGATAACTCAGCCGGCTTCGTGTCTAAAGCATGACTAGAACTCACAGTCTCCTGGTTTCTAGCCTGATGACTTAACCACTACATCAAAAGCACACAAACATATACAAACAGATAACGATTGACATTTCAGCTGAGGGCACCTGTTCTGATATGAAAGGCTAAAAGAACAGCAAAGAATTAGAACTATAATAACTTGCAAAAAGTATTATATGTCAGGATGAAAGGATCTTTGTAAATAAGGGAAAGCATATTGTTCCACGTCTGATCAATTAACATGTCAGTTAAAGAAAATAGGCTTTGCTCTCAGTCAAAATACTCAAGTTGAGGAGAAGAAAATGAAGAAGAGCCTGTATCTCTTCTAGCCACTGTCCATGCTTCCCTCAGAAGAACCATGGAACTAGAAACAGAAAAGCAAAGCAAGTGAATAAACACTACAATATATTTTCTTCTTCAAATCAATGTTATTTACCAAATGAAGGTTCCGAATTAAAAGGGTTTTCAATAAAATATTCAAACAGAAGTAACAATGAAGCAGTTAGTGACTTCAGTAATTCAGGGAACATTTCAGCAACTCCCATTGAAAGAACCTCTATTTACCATTTACAATTTAATTGGAAAAAAGATTTAATATATATGAAGAATCTCCAATAACTATGCAGTGTGTAAAATGGGACTGAAATGTTTGTGGCAAAACAAATGTAGAAAAACAATTTTTTTTAAAAAAAAATGCTAAATTAAAAAATGCATAAGCCAAAAACATCTTATTTAGAATGGCAGTTGGTAAGAAAGTTTAGAACGTCAGCTCTTAAGAAAGTTTTAATTTCAGACATTAAGAAGAGCTTTATAACTGTATAAATTCAGAATTTATTAAAAAAAAACCTGTATTTTACATTTTGCTTTAAAGGATTCAGATCTGTAATTTCAAACTCAAGAGTTTAATGGAATCAAACACCTTTCATTTTAGTACCATTTAAAAGGCTGCAAAATTTAAAACCTTCCTAACAAATTTAATGCTTATAAGTTGTTTTAATGGCACCCACGTAAACAACTGGTTGTTGACCTATTTTCCTTACAATAACATAACTGTGCATTATATGAGAATATTTTAATGCTAATGAAAAAATGCCTCATCAGTTCACAGTTGGTCATTATATAATAGTTGCTGTACCTAATATATCTATCATTGTTTGATATGAGCTTACTACTGAGGTTCAATGAAAGGTTTACTACCAGACTTAAGTTGCATGCTGTTATATTGTGTTTGTTTTTACTTTTTTCAAACATTTTTTGGAAGCTCCTTTAGGAATTCTCATTTTTCCACGCATTCTTAAGAAACATTTTGATTAAATGGCCATAACAACAATACAACACTGATGTGTTTAGTGTAAGGTTGCTGGTTACATAAGCCAGTGCAAATATACCTGTGGGCCAATCAAAAGTTACTTTCATTAATTTGGAGAGCAATATCTGCCTTGTGTCCATTCCTGTTTTGAACTAGTTTAAAAACTATGAAGAATGTCTAAAGAGTTGCGTCATGTTTTATGCAACCATACAAGAGCAATTTTTAAAAATAAAATGTTGTTTACATTCTAATCTTGGGGTCTAATATTCTTACAAGTGTTCCCATGAGTGTTTAACTGTGATGATTAGCAGCCTTCTGTATCGGCTTCAGCATGCCATAACTTAGAAATTTGTACAAGCTGACTACAAATCACCAGCAATATAGGGGCCTGCCAGGTACTTGAAAATCTCTGCTTCTGTATCTCCGGCAAGCAGCCAAAACAGGAAGCCTTTGGTGAACTACCATATGTGGCTGGTAGGCTGTTTCTAAGGCAACTATTAGGGTGTTGGATGTTATGCTAGTTGGTATCTGCTAAATACTGGGCAAAGTTAGGGGGACATATAATCTTACTGTTGTTCTTTTAAATTGGCCATTTCAAAGGAAGATGAACTTTAAATATGAGCCTAATTTAAGCAATATCTTAGGAGTCAGAGAAAGGCTTCAGCTGATTTCATGAGAACTTTGTAGATTCTCATGTAGATCACAGGCATTCCATGTGATGAAAATGCATATAAAGGCACCTTTTAAATTTGTTCATCAGGGTTTCAGAATCATACATTGATCCTGTCTGAGCAGAGCATTTTCAAGAAGTGTTTCCATAACTTACAGAAAGAAGAACAGCCATAAGAACACCAGCCAGGGCCCTGCTTATTCTCCATAGAATTATGGTAACATAGAGGATAATGTCAGAAGAGAAATTAAAGGATCCTACAATGAAGCTGTAAATATCTGTGTAATTTACAGAAATATTGGGAATTGAGTTTGGAAATATATTTATTCATTCATTCAATTAATCATTCATTCAATTCATATAGCTCCAGATCTCAAACCAGTGACTCTGGATTAAGTTCTTGTAACAGTAACTGAAGCAGGCAAAATTGCCATATTTCAAACAGATAAAAAAACTGTTCCTAAGATTAAATTAAGGGGATAATATTACATTCATGTTCCGGAGATATGTTTTGAAATCAGTGATGTCATACTCTTCTGTTTTTCCTACACCCAGGGATTCACAGTGCTCTAATGACATTGGCAGTCCCTTATTACCACATTAACTATACCTTGCCTTAATATACATTCCAAATATCATTCTCCTCAATTAGAGAAAAAAGTAATAAATTAAATCACATAAGGAGGATCATACTGAGAAATCCTGACTGCTCCTGCTCTCTCTTCTTACAGGGTGCAACTAGATATCGTTGGGAATTCTATTTTTAAGATATGAACCTCAATAGCACCTCTTACGTTCCACAGCATTTGGTGTTTCATTCAGGAAATAATGTAAGGCCATCGTGTCTACTAGTTATGGATGAAGAAATCGTACACCAAATATCTAAACCAATTGGCACAAAAATTAGAAGGGAGGGAAAATCATTATAGTGTGCAACAACAGATTTAATTTACATTGAATCTCACAACATTCAACTTTACTAGATAATCCTGATTCTAATAACTGAAAGAAAAGCTTCTCCACAGTAGGCATAATTTTATATATGTTTGTTTTCTCCCAAACTACTTGTTTTTATCTAAGTTAAAAAGTCCCAGATGTAATGTTTCCATATAAAGCAATTGCTCTTGCCCCTTGATAATTTTGTTGCCTTTCATGCACATTTTTCCAGTAGGGATTTTTTGAGATGCTGTGGTCAGAAACATACACAGATATCTGAGTGGGATTACACCATGAAGATAACTATTGTATACATCTTTATAAAGATATTATAAAGGAAATTTATTTATTTTTATTCCTTTCCTAATGATCCCTACTGTGGAGTAATACTTTTGCTGTTGTTTTTATAAGAACTGTACACTGCCTCAATGTTATCTTTAAGCTAATTATTACTATTAGTAAAATCCATTTTATGGGTGTATCTGTGCCAGCTACACTTCATAAAAATACTCATGAAATTAGGAATAAAAAGTATATGGTAATATATTTTTTATTCTAAATTGCAATGACCTTCTTAATGCCGTTATTCAGTCTAATAGAGCTCTTTGCAGTCCGTTGTTTTAACTACCTAAAATAATGAAATGTCATCAGCAAATTGGCCACTAGCTGCTCAACCCTAATTTAAATAATTTATGAATAAGTTTAAAAATACTGGTCCCAAAAACTAATCCTTGGGGAAAGAGCCATATGATACAACTTCTATTTGTAATTGATATGGTTTATTCCTTTTTTCTTTATTCAGTTATTAGCATGGCATATTACATATCAAGTGAAATATCTAGTTTTCCAGTAACATAGGTACACCTATAAAATTATGTTTATTATCCATCTTGTTTAAAGTACATGTTTTACATTAGCTAATTATCTTGCATCCAATTCTTTGCATTGAAGGCTACAAAGTGTTAAAATTGTGTAGAATTTCCTTTCAAAAGAATATTAGAATAAACTACAGAAAAAGGATTAACCTATTTTATAATTAAATAATACTAATTTAATCAGGACAACATTTAGAAAAAGTTCATGGTATAATAATGATTTAAGATTTAGAGCTGCAGTCTTTAATTGATTAATCAGCTTTAAAAAGCATATTCATGATCTTTAACAGGGCTTATTCTCAGAACAATATTCTCAGCATACAGTACAACTGTACCATAAGCAATTTTTTAAAAAAATCTATTATTAACTGGGCAACGTTTCTGTTAGTCACTTAATATAATTATAAAATGCTAATAGTAAACATCATATAAGAAAAAGCATTTTTCTCTAACTATCAAAACAGCCTGTCTGATTGGCATTGCACACATGAACAATACTTTGCAGAATTTCAGAAATGGATGTTTCCCATTTCAACCTGAGGATGTCAAAAAAAATGACTGGGAACCATTTGCACACAGAGCATGCACTATGCCCCTCTTCATTTCACACACCTCTAAAATGAACACCTACTGCGAAATATTCTAAAACAAAAATGTACCTTTTTCTTCAGAGGTTTTGTTTACTTCTAAGCAAATTTATGCAGATTTAACCTGATTTGATGGTTTTTCAGTGAATGGCATAATCAAAGTATCATTTTACTCGTATTGTATATGCATTTCTTGATGCACACATATACTCACACAAGTTTACTAATTAAACTACTTTTCAGTTAAAACATTCACTAGTCTTTTGCTGCATATTGGTATGGAATGATCAGTTACTGCAAATGTACATATGAAGCTCTCAGGGCTATGGATTTCTCCTTATTTAATGAACTGTGTAGCAGAAATGGCAGAAAAGAAAATGGATAAGGCATTTAAAAAATTCCCTAAAAATAATGCACAAATTTTGTTATTGCTTTTGTTATTATAGCTGCCTTTAGAAAATTTGGTGCCCATTTTTTTATTTCTCAAAATGTTTATTTTAGAATCTGTTAAAATAATATTTTAAATAAAGGCCTCTATTTTAAGTGGCATCATCAGTGCTAATTTTAAAATCCAAATCCAAAAGAAAGTGCTAAAATTTTAAGATTGTTATCCGCGACACTATTTAATATTTCCTAATTCTCAAATGATTTTTTTTCTTTTTAAAGGACAACAACAACAACAAAAACATAAAATGTTGGCTTCTTCACAAGAAATTACACATACTCAGCGTAAGATTCAACAAAGCAGCGGCCCTCTAAAATTATAATTTAAATTGATATGCATCTCCCCTTGTAATGCAAAGAATCTCAGGTTACTATGGGGGGAAACTAGAATGGGATACCCAACAAAATTTTAAAGGAAATCTAAAATAAAAAAGTATTTAAAAAGTACCTGCACATGCCAAAACATAAACAAAAAACCCAATAAATACAGAAATTATTGCACAGTTAAAAGGCTTCACAATTTTTACTGCCTTAACCAATCCTCAGGTTTAATAGAACTTTGTAGACACAGGTTATATTTAAGTGCCAAATTCTGGCACCTGCCATAGTTACACTAAGATATGTTTATGGAGGCAAGTTAGGTCAGCTTTTCTCAATTGGCAATAGTTAAACTGTACAACTTAAATTTTACCTAGACCCCTGCTTTTAACCCAGTTGGGGGTGGGGGGTTTAACTTCTTTCTGCCTGCTCAATTTTTACATCATTTGTCAGCAAGTGTTCGCCATGCCACTTTTTCATGTGTTTCTCCAGGGTGCTGTAAACACTGAAGGGCATCTGGCAAATGTCGCAGCGGTAGACCTCCTTCCCTATCTGGCCATGCGTTTTCATATGACGTGTCAGCTTACTGCTCTGGGCACATGCATAGTTGCAGAGCTCACATTTGTAAGGCCGCTCTCCTGTGTGGCTCCGGCGATGCACCGTTAAGTTACTGCAGTTCTTAAAGACCTTGCCACAGTATTCACACGTGTCACTCCGCCGTCCTTCCTTTGAACTGGGTCGACCGGGACCGGGTCCACTGATATGAGGGGTGCTGCCTCCGCTCGCCGTCCCACTGCGCCCTGAGAGACCACCATCTAGCATATCACCTGGTGGAGTAGAGAAACGCAGGCTTCCGTTCTCTGAGGAATGCTCAGAAGAAGTTGCAAAGGGGGATTGTCGGGAGTCTGTGAATCCTAGAAATGGATCCTTCATGAAGTGCCTTGATGCTGCGTATCCTACCAGCCACTGAGAGTAAACATTTTCAGAAGGTATTATTGTTGCTGGTGGCAAGTCCAAATCTTTTTCTATCTTTATTCTTTTGGAGGAATTGTTTAAATTGGGGGTTGTGATAGGGGTGGGCTTGCGAGGGAATAGCCCTGGGAAGGGTTCACCTGGCCCAAAGTTTCTCCCATTCACTGTCCCTTCCTCAGTGCGGTCGAGTTCTCCAGCTACTGAGTCTTCATCACCTGTGTCTCTCTGGCAAAGGTCTCGAGGGCATAGATCTCGCTGATCTGAAGACCTTTTCATGAAGCCACCTCTTTTCTGCTTTTCAGCCAGCATGTCACTGTATTGCTGGATGGTACCGAGGCTTACATTCTCTATCACTTTTCCTAGGACAAGGGATTTTTCATCTGGCAGAGATTTGGAACCATTCTCTCGGTTACGACTTAGTTCTGAATCCATGCTAAAGCTTGACTCTGGTCGACTTTCATTTTCCAGCTCCTCTTCTTCCTCCTCCTCTTCCTCCTCTTCTTCATTGTCATGGCCTAAAGAAGGATCACTCTCATTCCTGAAATCTGCCTCACTAGACTTTAGTCCCTCTCCAGTAAGTTCACTTGTGCCAGGCTCTGGGGAACTTGTAGCAGATAATCCATCATCGGACCTCCCTGTCATGGATCCAGCTTTGTGCATATGTGTTTTCATATGGCGTTTTAATTTGCTGGCTTGGGAACAAGCATGGTCACAGAGTTGGCATTTATAGGGCTTCTCTCCTGTGTGACTGCGCCGATGGACAATGAGATTGCTCTGAAACTTGAAGGTTTTTCCACAAAATTCACAGGACTTACTCTTTGCCTGAGGCTGAGGAGGCGTAGTGCTGCTTGGAGGCATTGGTGGCAGTGGAGGGGTGTTCAGAAAAGGAGATTTAGGGCTTGGCTGGAAAGGATTCAATAAGCGATGCATAGGGTTGCTGCGACTAGGCGAGACTGGTGGTGGGGTCGCATTGTTTCCTGCCAGTTCTCGAAGCCTTCTGGAGAAATCCATCGCTGGCGATTCAATTGCCATGGGGTTTAAACGCATGACTCTGTCAAAGGCACTAGGATGCTGGGCAACTAACCCCATTTCTTCGGCACTAAGGCGATGTGGATCCAGATGATGACGAGGTGGCGGACTGAAGAGGGGAGGTGTATTAGGAAGCCGACCTTCACCAAAGCCAGGATGATCACGCAAGATGGGACCTGTCATTCGCAAGAGACTAAAAGGGTTATTGTCGCCTAGGAAATTCATCAGCGGGGACTGTGCAACAGTCTCGGGTCCCAGAGGAGGAGGGATGGTGATGCGTGGAGTAAGGGAGCTGTTTGAAGGGCTAGTTTCCAAGTAGATACGGAATCCATGTGTATTCTGGGCATGCTGAAGCAAGAACCAAGCGCTATTAAAAGGGTGCTTGCATGTTGTGCAAATATAGCTTGAAGGCTCATCTTTACCTGTTGAGAAAAAGAAGGGACAGAGAAAAAGGGAGAATAATTAGAAAAGTTACCTAGAGGACTGTAAATAATCTTTCCCCCCAACAATTGTAATGTAAACATATTTAATAAAGAGGAGGCATCTGTTCTTGTTTAACATAACCTGTACATGCATGAAATCCATCTTTATCCTAAACTCGATTGCTTATTGCATAAAAATTCTTTAAAGTTTTAATACCAACTTAGAATAAACTAACTTACATTTTCATCCATATTCCAATCCAAGGTTCTACTCAATTGAACATTGAATGTTAGAAACATGTCTAAATCTGAAAAATTAATCTTGTGTACAAATCATTCCATCATTCCCTTTATCAAAAGCTTTGAACATGCTGATGTTTAAGCTACTATAATAATTGAATAGTAATAACTATTAGAACTGCATCTGAATTGTGTTTAATATAACAATCATATCCATTATTTAATAGGAAAAGGCCAGGAATTTATTTGTCTTTCTAAAATATCGTTCTTTTTCCTTGAAATATGCAGAATAAAGGTTTGAAAGTTCCTAGAAAGTTTTCTCAAAGGCAGTGTAGGCAACCTGTAACTCAACACTCATAATTTTACGAAGTATAAAATTGAATACTGGACATACAGGGCAGATTTGTTTTAATTATCTAAGATGTGAATTGTTCCATTGTGAAACACTAATTCAGATAAATTCCTAGGTATTCCACCTTGATTTTTCAAAGCAGTTGTTTCATGCAGAAAAAAATAACGTTTTCTAATCTTGTTTTTTTTTTTTTAATTCCCAGCAACAACAAACAGGAGTGATAGGTCAGGAGAATATTGTGTTTCTTTTTCCCCCTGACTTCTGCTTACTAGAATACATACATACCATAAAAAAGAAACATGGCAACATGATCAGACATACTAACTGCTAATGGTACGTGGGCCCTGACATTTAATTATTTTGATCATGGGTACTTGCCCTGAATATGACAAGATAGAATAAATGAATGTGAGCTAGTTCATGAACAAAACAGCAAACTGCCTTACTCTCATATACAAGCTGGGAGGGAAGCTAATCAGTAAGTAAACCAGACAATTTAAGCACACAGATGCTACTACCCCCCCAAAGTGTTGGCTATATTAAGAATTAAGGTGTACTAAGAAATCACAAATGGATGGAGGGATGTTCATGCCTTGAGTATATAATACTCTGATTCCCCCCTTTCCTCCCCAATTTTAATAGCAGGCAAGTGGCCATAGAAATGCTGTTATTTCCAAATGTATGCTAGACCTCTGGAACAATATGAATTTCAACTATAGCTTTCTAGAAGCAATTAATATTGATGTTATAGTCCAAAATGTAAGAAAGACCTCTTAATCCTAGCAATTGAGGAATCTGAAAGGGAGAAGGTGTTTTATGTCAATTCTGAGGTTGATTCAACAGTCAATGCTCCTATTATTATTACTACTCAGTTAAATATTTCTTTTTTCAAACTAAAGGTGAAAAAAAGTCTAGACCATTAATGCTTCTTAAAAACACAATGGTAGCATAAAAACTGACAGAAATCACAGAGGTATGTTAAATTTATAGTATATTCTGCCAAAAAGCTGTTTTAACAATACATTTTTGCCTCAGCTTACCCATGAATAGATTTTAACAAACCCTTTTTTTGAAATGTGATCTAACAGCAAATCAAGTACACAATCTTACAAAGCCACACAGCTTCAAAAGAACGAATGTTCCGCTTCCTTAAACTGATTTTATACAGATAATTATTTTTTATTTATCAATAATAATTTATACCACTTCCCACGCAAATATGACTTGAAGCAATTTACAAATAAAAAATATACAATAAACTAAAGCACTGTAAAATCATATTAATTAAAATCGGAGTGTGGGTAGAGAAAAGGAAAGCAGAGGCCCTCTTTAACTGCAACCTAGAAATATTGGCTGAATACTCATAGCTGACTGACTCTTCCATTTTTAAAATCACCAAAAGAATTTATCAGATACAAGGGATGTTTCTGAAAGGTAGCAGTCATATTGTTTCGAATTAAAAGAAAGACTAAGGCCAATAAAAATAGTTTCAAAATGGCAATTCCCTAGCTATTGGCATTCGTTTCCTGCAGCTGAGAAGTTTTTTTGTTAAAGCATATACTGCATATTAAATATTCACCTTTTTGAAATGCAAAAGAAAATTAACCTGTTTCAGTTCTGCTTCCTGCTTCCCTTTCAAACCCCACTTATTAATGTCCCTGACATAAAGAAATTGGTATGAAAATCTAATGTTGATAAAAATAGGCCTTCATTCTTTTCATTTCTATGGCCCTAAATGTTTTGTGTTCAGGAGCCCCTGTTCACAATGCCAAAGAGACTGACTGGGGCTCCCGAACTACCAAGGTTCTGACAGATTTATTTTGGGTTTTTTTCTTCTTCTTCTTTTTCTGCTTGGTTCACTTTTCACAACCCTCAAAGGCTCTCCTTAGATTTCCCCTTTATTTTATATGAAGTTCTATTTTAAATAAATAAATAAATAAAACGTTCATTTCCATATTATCACTTCATGGTTATCTTGCCTCAAAATCGCCCTGAGCAGTGTAAATGCTCACTTTTAAGACCAGAACAACGTCAAAAAGTCTTTGAAGATGCACTCTGAATATTTTTATATGCTAAAATTTGCCAAGTATTTTTAAAATGCTCAGATGGTCCGATAGTGCTGTAAAGTGATTGCTATAGTTGAGGCACAATGCCTGCTTTGGAAAAAAAAATGTGCCGTAAGGTTAGTTTCAATGTGTATCTAAGTTGTCTAGCTTGGCTTTTGCGTATTACACATAAGTGGGAAAAAGACATTTGAGTCAATTACATTCTTTATTGTCACTAAGGGTGAAATAAATGTTATGGTGTGGAGGGGAATGTTCTATTCAGTTGATCTAAAAGGGGTATTCCATTCTTTTGCTCCATTTATCTATTTTCCTAAAATTTCACACTTTTAGCATTCTGGGTCTGCTGAATGCGATCAATATTGCTAACCCTAAGGTGCCCATTTCTCCACACTTTGGTGTTCCTGGAAGACTGATACTTTCCTCTTGTATACCAATGGTAAACTACTACATAAGGTTTTATACTGCGAGCAGAAGTATGCTACTTGAATGTGGGATATTTCCTGTTCCTATTATTTAGTACTCAACTTCTTGCATGAGAAGGGGCGTTGGTACTTACCTGACACGCCCTTTCTCTGTGAGCTGTGAAGAGCATCCATTGTTTGGGATGATGCTTCTGTCACTCATTTGATAGGCTGGACTTTAATTGAGAAGACACTCCTTCTCCTAGGGACTCCTCCCTAGCGTCCCCAGTTTTGGCGAAGTCGAAGTGATGAAATATTTCTTCTCCTTCACCCTTTCTAATACTTGACTGGAAGAACATCCCGCCAGATGAATAAGGGTGGGGATGGATGCTCTTCACAGCTCACAGAGAAAGGGCGTGTCAAGTAAGTACCAACGCCCCTTCTTCAGATGAGCTGTTCAGAGCATCCATTGTTTGGGACATACCAAAGCTTGGCATGTCCTACGGGAGGGCTTCCGTCTGGCTCGGATTCCCCTTTTTCTTGGTCCCTATGGACCCTTTGTAACACTCTCCTGTCAAAGGCAGCCTCCGTAGAGGCGAAGACATCATTCTAATAGGTTCTAAATAAAAGGCGATGGTGAGGCCCATGTTGTCGCCTTGTCAATTTTCGCTATTGGCGCTTGTGGCCCATGTTGTCAACATCGCAGCGCTCCAGGTTGAATGAGCAGTGATGCCCCTGGGTACAGGAAGAGATTGTGTCTCATAGGACTTGGGAATTGTGCTCTCAGCCACTTACTGGTCATTGAGGAAGGGGTCTTGCACCCAATGGTAAGTGGTTGAAAAGAAACGAAGAGAACCTTTGTTTCCTAACACACATCATGCAGTTGAAATATACGTAGAAAGCTTGCCCTACATCTAGATTGTGGCATTGTCGTGCCAGATGTTATGTTGGTTTCAGACAAATGTATGGGAGTATCAGTTCCTATGGTCTGTGGAAACCCAAAATTATCTATGGGTGAAAGATGGATCTGGACTAAGGATCACTTTGTCTGTGTGAAAAATACAGAGCTCCTGTCTAACTGACAAGACTACTAGATCCAAGATGTAACTGGCCGATGTAATGGCAACCAAGAGAACCACCCTGTACATTAGGAATGGAGACGTATGGTCTACATGGGCTCAAAGGGAGTTTTCTTGAGTTCGGTAAGGACCTTGTTCAGGTCCCACATGTGATATCAATGCACTACAGGAGGCTGTAAGATTGTAGCCCCGTGCAAGAAAATGGCATATGCATGGGTGATGAGAGATGGACTGCAAGTCTCTCCTAGTGATGACCGATGCTAAGGCTTCCCCTTTGCCTGTTTATATGAACAAGATAATAATGAAATGTCATATAAATAACACTGCCGTCTAACAGGTGTACACCTGAGATGAACAGCCAGAGCCATCAGAACCTTCGTAAGAACCTTGGGAAGATGACAACCCAAAGGACAGTGCAATGTATTCAAAACGTTGAGTATTATAACAAAAACTAAGAGTTTTGCTATGTGAGGATCTAATTGGAATGTGGGGATGGGCCTCCATTAAGTCAGTGGAGGGTAGAAAATTGCCCCTTCTGAAGCTCAGAAGTATGGAGTTCAGTATACTCATCTTAAGCCTCCTATGAACTATGGATCAATTAAGTCATTTTAAAACTAAAATTGCCCCTGCCGATCTGGTGCCACAGGTTGGTTGCCTGGATCTCCAATAAATGAACAATAGCTGTCTTCAGCATGCTCCTTTTAACAGGATCCCCAGAGAGAAGGCAAGTAATGCAAAGGTTCCAGGGAGAGGATGGAAATTCTATAGCCAGGCCTAATCTTCTGATACCTCTAACCCAGGAAACAGAGGTAGAGGCATCCCATCTGTCCGTGAAAGGTTTGAACCTTCCACCAATAGGGGC